AAAGTTAATCCCTTGATTCGGCCAGACCTGTTATTATATTATTAACTTATTGGAAAAGACTTGAGTGCCCTTCTTTAAGTAAGAGGCACTCGAACTAATATAACAGTGCACATCAGCATTCTCAACAAGTACAAAGACTGAAATACCCCTTCACTAACACCACTAACAGGTGTCAATGGACCAGGTTTGAGTTGAAACCAATCTAAATTAATAGGAATTTGAAACAGATTGAACAGTCTCTAGATTGGTCCAAATTGGTCCAAAATATTTATTGGACTGGATTGAACCAGGTCCATTTGTAATGGACTCACATTGGACTAGACCGGATTGGACCAAATTCAGTCCAATTAACACCCCTATCTATAACTGCCTCAGTTTGACCCATCTTGCATTTCTCGAATCGCCAGAGACATCCTAAACCAATGTTCAAAATACAAAGTATACCCCGATATACCAGAAGCAGAAGGTGCGTATTGAGGGTTTTGAACAATGCATTGCAATTTTTGTTTTCAAATATGCGAAAAAATTTTAAAACCTAATATTTTAAAATACAGAAGCGTGACGCAAAGCATTCCACTACCTAGAGGTATGAGATGTAGTTTATAACACAAAAGACATAAGCCTTATGCCTCCTTAAGAGGAGGGGGTTAGGAGGAGGCTGAAGAGGAAGAAAGGATCTAATTTTTTTATTTATTTTTAATAAAAAATATTTTATATTAAGAAGAATAAAGATGCATAACATGAGTGAAAAAGAAAGAGAGGTGTCATATAAAAATAGAGGCAAGCGAACAAAACGAGCTAAAACAAAAAACTATCGTAGCACAGGTCTTTTAAAACATTGGTCCTAGATAGTTCATTTTTCCCTTGACATTATCGTACCACAGGGCGTCTATGACCTTAGATGTATTGCAACAAAGCAAAAGACTTATTTAATTGTTTCAGGGAAAATGTAGATTGCAAGTTCAATATCTAACTTGTGATTTAATTGTATATCGTAGCAGATATTGATTTAATTGTTTGGGATAATTTTAAATTTCGATTTATCTTTTTAGTTTGATTTTCTGAATTGTAAAAGTCAAATCAAACTGTAAAGCAACACATATATTAATATATAAATATAATATTTTTCTAAATCCCACCAACAGAATGATCCAAACTGTATTAGAAACCAGACCAACTTGTAATAAAACAGTTAGGTATGATTTGGTTTATACACTAAAATGATTTAATTTGGTATGAGATCTTCTCCAAACCGGATGTGCACCTCTGCTTGCAGTCCTAAGCACGTGTATTGTCATTTGAACCCACGTGACACCAAATCTCTTACTCATCAACGTGTCAACCGGATAGGATTTTTCAATCTTTAGCCAGTTAGGAAGAGTCCAGATCTGCTGACAACACATATTGCTAACTACGTTTTAGGGGTGGATTCAAGTTGAGCTGAGTTGAATATTTGGTTATTTGAGTTCGGCTTGCTGAAACTATGTCAGTCTCGAGTTCGACTACAAATCAAATTTTTTCTATAAAATAAAAAATATACATATACAAATATTTATTTATTTTATACACAAAAAATTAAGAATTATAAAAATTATTTATTATTATACATATAAGAAATAAAAATATACATATAAAAATGCTTTTATTTTACATTCAAAAAATAAGAATTACAAAAGTTATTTACTATTATACATAAAAATAAAAATATTATATATAAAATAAAAATTATTTATTATATATATATATATATGTATATAATAAAAACATTTATTTATTATACTAGCTTCACGAACCTCACAAACCGAGTTTCACTGGATTCAAGCTCGGCTCGATTGGTAAACAAACGTATATCGAACTTGAAGTGATCTTTTCAGAAGCCAAACTTAAATAACTTGAAGCCACCCCTACCACGCGCTCAACGTGCGGCTTGATGAGCGTGGCCAGCAGATCCGAACTCACTAAGAAGGTTAAGTCACGGCCCAGGATTGTGAAGAAGGCCCATTTCTGTCGGGATAATTGCTATGAGCCGGACAAGACCCATAGCTTGTTTGAATTGGGACCGGCTCCTAACAGCCACATCTTTGGGAACATCGGAGCGGGATCTGCTCTTCACACATCGGCGCCTCGCAGAAACATCCACCGTGCATTAGGAATATCTCGAGAAATGTTCTCAATGCATGATAGGATGTACGTGTGAGGTCGATGTGAGGCGCCATGTGTTAGGAGCAGATCCGGTGTCGGGAACATCTCCCGATGTGCGGCTGGTACATGCATCCCTTGACCCTTAATTCCATTTGGTAAATGTCAATGAAGCTACTGATGGCGGGAATCCGTTAATCCGGTGGTAGTGTTGTAAAATGTACTGTAAAGGAAGGGCCAAAGACACAGAGCAATAGTGGTACAGATTTCTCTTCCTTCCAATATCTAACTGGATATAGGTGGGTTCTCTTCCTTCCTGCCTGCGTTCAGCATATGGGTTTCAATTTTTGCGTGACAGAAAGAACAGAAAAATTTTACTAGCACAGAAGGAAAATGCTGAAAGCTACAAGAGGAGTGACATCAGTGGAGGGAACTTTGGAGAAAAATCGACTCAACAATGGACTTCACAGCTTCAACTGTAAGTTGTGTACATTTATCTTCGATAGTGTCTGTGTTTTATCAGTCCTTTAATTGAGAATACGAAAATAAAACACTGGATGAGTTTCTGTTTCTGCTGTTGATTTACGTAAAAGAAGATGGATTTTTGACTGGGTATTGTGGAGTTTTGGGTCTTGTGATTAATGGGTTTGCTTTCGGTTTCTTGTTCTCTCACTTATCTGGACATTTGTGGGTTGATATCTGGAAGTATGTTAAATTAATGGTGAGAGTGCTACATGGTTGGTTGTTTCGAATATTGATATCCTCGTAATCAATACATGTAATTAGTTCGAACCGGGTAATGTAAGATTATTTTTGTGTCGATACTTCACTTATTTATACTTATAAATTACAATAAAATCGATCTTGGTTATATTGTTGTGCTTGTTTTTTCTTCAAAAAAGAAGAAGGATTAACATGGAATATATAGGTAATCTTTACTTTTTTTTCCCCTCAAAGAAGCGCTTTCATGCTTATACCATGGAATTGCATATATGTTTTAAGTTCTTCCAATCCCATCTACCAGCTAGAGCTGCAAATGGCAACTGATTGTCCGAATTCGAATTCGACCCCATTAAGGGTGATTCATCTGAATTCAACCTGCTTATAATTGGATTGGATCAAATATGGATCTACCCCTATACATTGCGATATATCCGATTTGATTGGACTTAATATGTATGCTCACTATACTTAAAATTTATATTGTATCTATTGGTAAAGCTGGTTTGAATGTTGCGTTTTTACTAAATTGTCATAGGTTCAAGTTTAATATAAGTAATTTTCAATTCATTTTGTTTATGAAATACAATATCTAAGTCTTTTTTAGTTCACTTTACTAATAATATATAATACTTTGCTCATTTTAAGTTTAATTTATTAACAGTTATTCATATCCAATTGTAATCCAAATTCAATATAAATCTAATGGATAAGATCCAATTTGAATTCGGATATAAACAAATCAAATTTTGATATATGAATATATCTATATCTGATCCAATTTGATCCATTTGCAGCCCTACTACCTGCTTCCTCCCCTCAAGCTTTTAAGGTTGGCAAATAGGGAACATGGTTTCATTAAAATATCCGAAACAAAGAAATCTCTTTTCCTCCAAGTTCCATCTAAGGGATTGCAAGCAGTCTTTTTCTCTTCTTAATGAAAGCCAATGACTCAATGCAGTACAAAGCAGATATTTTGGATTCCATGAATTGCAACGCAATCATTCTAATTTGTTACCATAATCTTAAGTTAGCATGAATCAGATTTACAATCAAGATTGGAAAATCTTTGCTCTGCCACTCACTAACAGTTCCATCTCTTTTGCCTTCTTTGCAGGTAAACAATTATCTGGTTGCTTCATTCAATCGTCATTTGCTCGATCAAGACCAGTAGCTAAGAGTGATAAAATGGGCTCTTTGATTTATAGCACACTGCGCACAATGGAAAAACGGGACAAATTTCTGGTATAAGTCAACCATAGGTTTCCTGATCATGTTTGAGTAACTAGGACAGTGCCCATGCTTCATAAACTGCTAATGGAGTATGGTGGGCTGATGGTTTCCTTCTTACTTCTTAATGCCATTTTTCCTTTCTTATTTTAGTGTCTGTCTAACATTTTACACGTGCAAAGATTTGGAGCTTCATCCAATGATTTGAACCTATTATACTAAATATTAACTCAAGAATGTGATATACTGAAAACTTACTGTTTTAGTTTATCTGTTCTTTCATATTCCGTGTAACATTTTTTTTTCAAACATCATATTATTGTGCTAAAAGCAAAAACTCCCCTTTTTCTTGATTGGAAATATTATCAGATTTGTGCAATGAGGAGAAGAAGGGCATATTTACAGACTGATACGTATGTCCTTCTGGAGCCTGGAAAGGGTGAGGAGTTTGTCTCTGAGGAGGAGTTGAAGGCCAGGTTGAAATACTGGCTTGAAAACTGGCCTGGCAATGCATTGCCCCCTGATCTTGCAAGTTTTAAAACCATTGATGATGCTGTTTCTCACCTTGTAAAGTCTGTTTGTGAATTAGAGATAGATGGAGAAGTTGGTTCCGTCCAATGGTATGAAGTTCGGTTAGAGTGAGGAAAAATCATTTAATTAATACATCTTAGCTTAAATGATACTTTTTATTGTTATCTGTATTTCATGTATGTTCTCTGAAAACACATTGCAGTATAGTCAAGAGAAGTAACTGAGTTTCTACCATGTAATGGTGTAAAATGGTTAGGAGAAAATCACTGAGTTCTCCCATTTTGGGGCAATTGTAGTAGAATTTTGCCTTGACATGTTTTATTTATTGCACATGGATGGAGACATCCAGGACATACCTCTATTATCCTTGTTCCAAAACTGGAGTCAACGGTTCTTGTTATGTGAACCTTGGTGGGCATACGAAGCTGATGAATAAACAACTTATCTGAAAAGAGCCAACAAAAAATATCTAATATAGGATCATAGATTTCTATGGAGCACATGGTTTAACTCAAGCTACATCATTTTCAGTCACTGTGCAGTTGCAGTTTTAAGTTTTATGATCAAAATGGCACATGATTGGCAACACAATTTGCTAAATCAGGAACATAGTACACCTGGTAACTATGGTCTCCTTTGTATGATACCAACATGTTGCCCAGGAAAAGTCAGGGCATTTGGCCATGGTTTAGAAACCTTTTACTTGATCACAACTGTTATCTGATTTCAATTTTTTCAAAATACAGCCAACTAATTGGAAGTGATAATTTATTCTTTTGTGGGCTTGTGTTGTGTGGTATGTGAGACTTGTTATTCTCATGGCAAGATTAAGACACTTCTATGCAAGTCTCCCCGAGTTGAATTTGAATCATTTTCTTATGGTGGGAATTTATTAATGTTTATGGGTAATAGTTTTCATGTGGAAGTAGCAATTTTGATCCATTTGAAATGAAAGATTGGTTAGAAACCAGCCTGCCTTTGTAGATAAACTAGTAAAAAAGTTTTGATGCATGGGAAATGGAAAAAATAATTATGGGATAGAATGGGGACAGAGGGATTTCCTTAGTTGATAGGAGGGGAAGAAATCAACCATCTAGTTATGAATACCAATTCAGCCATCTTGGTTAATTGCTAGGTGAAAGAAATTTACTAATTAAAACCTTATTAGTCAAGGGAGAAGGTATGTAATTTTATTACAGTGTTAATCAACAGGGTAATTTGAATTTATCAGCTTGTTTGTAACAGTTGAGTATCTGTTTGTAATGGTTGAGTATGGGTTTGTAACAATTGAATATGGTTTGTGATAGTTGGGTCTGGATTTGTGGTAGTTTGTACTTGTTGAGTATGTGTTTTTAACAGTTGAGTATGGACTTATGGCAATAGGGTATCAACTGATACAATTACAGACTGATACATAGTTGATATTTCAAGGGTTTTAACAGTTGAGTATGGGCTTGTGACAATAGGGTATCAAGTGATACGATTACAGACTGATACATAGTTGATATTTACAATCCAGTAAGCCCGAAAATCATTATATGTCAGACCATCTTGGCTGATTCATATTGATACTTAAACTATGTCCTAAAGTATTAGGGTAGCAAGGGAAGCAGAAGCAATAGGTTAGTCATAAACTCTGAAAAAGTTTCCAATTTCGTTTCTTGAATTCTAGAATTGGTAAAAATTAGATAAATATTTGATTAAATTAAACTATAAAGCATTAAAAAAGTACAGAAAAAACTGAAGCAGAACTGCAGAAGACATTGAATTCTCTAGTACCAATATCTGGTAGAAGTTGGAAACATTATGATAAATTGGCCAACGTGTATCCATCACTAATGAACTCAAATAAGCTCAAAGGAAGAAGAGGATAAGCTATTTCAATAATTATTTTCTACCTTTGTCTCATTTTTATTTTTAAGTAATATTGCATGGCCATGTCAAATGCTAACTCTCTGTCTTCAATGTAATAGACATAGTCTTTCCGCCTCCAACACTATTACACCTTGACTGGCATAAGAGAACTGTTGATCTAATTTCAAGATTACAACTTTCTAAAAGGAAAAATCAATTAATAAAAACAGGTAAAATAGCAATAGTACGAGTAAAACAAAGATAAAGAACAGACAGAACAATTTGTCTCCAAAAGGAGAAAGCTTAGTTTTGGTGGTTATTTCATTACTAGTAAAAGTGTATGTGCGTTGCACGTGACAATATCAAATGATGATAATAGTCAACAACCAAATGACCTTACTTGTTGAACCATTAACCTATTTAACAAGGAAAATGGATTATGATTAAAGACATTAATTCATTTTTTTTATTTGTATTTTAGCCATTTCTATCTTTACTAATAATTTTTTTTTCAAACATATTTTTGTGTGATATGAAGAATATATAATATTAATGCATGTTCAGATTCTATAAAATTAATAAAAAATTCTATGTTTTTATTTTTATTATTTAATTTATGAGATGATAAAAATTATTTATTTACCAAGAGGAAATAAAATTCCAATATATTGTTTGAATATTGGTTTTTTAATATTGTGTTCAAATCAATTATTTATATATAATATATATGTTATTTATTATTTATTTATAAATATGTTATTTATATTGCATTTTTGTAAATTTTTTATATGATGGAAATAGTTGAAAAAATACTTATATTATTTTTGATTTTTTTATTTCAACTGTTATATTTTTCTTTTTCTTTTAATAATTTATTAATTTAAAAAAAAATTAAATCAGATCGTATCAGATTCGAATATCTGACATCTTAATCGGATTTGGGTTCGAATTAATATTTATGAGATCCGATTGAATCTTTGGCTTAGATCAGATTTGAGTATATCATAATTCAAATCTGATCCGATCTATTTGCATCCCTACCAAACCACTTGCCTACGACGACCTAGATAATTAAATTATTGAACCATTTGACATGGTTAGTCGGGTCATGTGTTAGACATTAATACTCTATTTTTTATCCTAATTTTTATCCCATTTCTATCATTAATGAAAATAATTCTCATTAATTACACTTTTTTATATGATGAATAAATAATATTATAGAATGTACCCAAAATTATCGAAAAATTTCTACATTTTTTAGAATTTAATGTATTTTATTGTTTAATAATAACATCCATTTGACATGGATAGTTTAACTAGTAACCACTTGGATGGAAAAACCATTTTGCTTTTTTGGTTGATTTTAAATCATGCATTCCATTTTCATCTTCAATAAAGGTAAATCTTATTTTCACATTTATATTTGTTTAATATGGTGAATATATAACAATAGAATTGTATCAAAATGATACATACAAAGCTTATATATATATATATGTTAGATCATTGACCCACCTACCATCTAGATATGGAGATGGTTTCATTTTCAAATTGATTTTAAATTTTGCATTTCATTTATATCATTGATAAAATGATTATTATTTATCATACTTATTTTTGTTTATATTATTAGTATATAATATTATAGATATGTCCAAAATTGTTTCATATTTTTTTGTACTATTCTATTTAAAAAAAAAAATATTTTTAATTATACATCATAGATTAACCTATTTGACCTGAAAGGTTGAACCACTAACCCACCCCCTAGATAGGAAGATAGTTTAATTTCCCATCGGTTTTAAGTTGTATATTTGATGTCCATCATTAATAAAATTATGTCTATTTTATCATAGTTATTTTTAATATAGCAAATATATAATAATAGAAATGTGTCCAATTTTTTTTTTTCAAAATTTTTTTTTTATATTTTTTATATTTCTAAATTTGTATTATTTATTTAAGACATCATGAAATTATCCATTTGATCCAAATGGTTGAACTACTTACCCACAACCTAGATGGAAAATATGATTTCATTTCTAGGTTTATTTTAAAAATATAAAATTTCATTCTATTAATAATTATTGTGTATGGATTTCTTAGTGGAATTTAATGATGATAAAAAAAAGTATTTTTATATTTCTAAATTTTTAGTATTTATTTATGACATCATAAAATTATCCATTTGACCCAAATGGTTGAACTACTTACCCATGACCTAGATGAAGAATATGATTTCATTTCTATGTTTATTTTAAAAATATAAAATTTTATTTTATTAATAATTAGTGTATGGATTTATTAGTGGAATTTAATGATGATAAACAAAAGTATAAATGTTGGATTCAATGAGAGAGAATGTGATTTATTTAATGACTTAAATGTGAGACTTAATGAGAGGTAATTAAATGTACTTAACGGTATTCTTTTAATTACATTTTCTGCCATTTCAATGGAGATGAACTAAATTCAAGAGGAGTATTTCAGTAAAGAAAATTCCATAAGCCAATACCTCATCATTCACACTTTTATAAGTAGTATAGATATATATTTGACATAAATCTATATCATTTAGTTTGCAAATTCCCATATTTAGGATCCATTTGATTCACAGTTGGAATGAGAACTAGAATTAGAATCCCTTAGAATCGAAAGAAGAACAGTTCTATTCCCCTCCCCTGTTTGGTTCAGACTGGAATTGGAATTAAAATTGGTTGGAATGAGATTCTCATTCCCAGGAGATGGGGAAGAAATGACCATTCCCTCAAATGGGGGAATGCCATTCCACATGAATGGGAATGGTATTCTGATTCCGCCCAACCAAACAGTTGGACCATTCCGATTCCAGTCCCCTATTCTTGCAAACCAAACACAGATGTTTGTGCAAATTTCTACTCTGAAATGTAACATTGCATTTTTAATTCAAATTAGAATGGTGAAAAAATAGTAATAAGATGGTGTTTGTTGGCATCCTTTTTTATGGAATCTAGGGATGCTACTTAGGCTAGGTTGGGTCAGGTTGATGTCAACCCAAGCCGAACCTGAGGAAAAGTGTTCCTCAAACCTAACCTGTCCCGACTTGAGCCTCAACCTGATAAACCTAGCCCAACTTGGCAAAACTTTATTGAAGCATAATAATTATGTCCTTTTATATGTAATAATCTTGAAACTGAATTATATTGAACTCAACCTTTGAAGCAAGGAAATGAGAACATGTGGCAAGGGGAAGTGGAGAAGTTGGGCCAACCTAGGCTCAACTCAACCTGAAAACTTTGGGTTGGGGGTTCAACAGCTTCGGGTTGGGTTAGGTTAACGTCAACCCGACCTAATTTGGCTCGACTCAAACTCCTATTGAATTGGGTTAATATGAAAGTTTGCCATCTGATTTTTTTTAGGGTTTCTAGTAGATAAGGGCAACTTTGTGCCCTTAATATCAATAAAAAATTTTATATAATGACTAAAATATGGTAGATTTTTTTGGAAAAATATCAAGAAAGGGCA